GCATAATTTACCCCAATGGTAGAGATGGTGACTGCATGAGTTCGCGTACAGTCTACCTGATGCCTTGTAAAGCGTGCGGAGACAAATACGTTGGCGAAACGGGTAGACCACTCTGCGTGCGTATAAAAGAAGACAGTCGGCAAACGTAAACCAAGTGCTCCACTAGGCATCAGGTTATCAATAACACAGTAAGCTGAATGATCATCCTACAACCACAATGATGCTTAGATATTTGGAAAACTCGGACTGCAGGCCAGTTTGGAACAAACTGCTAGTTTGCAAGTATCTTAGCATCACTGTTGTTACAATTCCTTCTACTTCTGTTCAGCAAACACGACGTGTTACTTTATTTCTTCATTTACGTACAAGCTGACCTTCCGGCGAATTTCGCCTGCCTCAAAGCATGGAAAGGTCAAGTTGACTGCAATCTACACGGCCAAACATCTCCATAACCAAACAGAGAGAATGCTGAACAAAAATTTCAATCACATTGAACACAGAGTCTTTGCACACTCACCGCTTTCTACTAGTCCTCCACTAAATATGTCACGTGGAGACCAGACCCAACCGCACAGAGCTCACACGGAACCGTATTGTGCCCATCTCATCAAAATATTACTAAATAAATATTGCTCAATATTAATATTATTTATTATTAAATAAATATTGCTCAATACTTTGATGAGATGGGCATAATACGATTCCGTGTGAACTCTATGCGGTTGGTCTCCACGTGACATATTTAGTGGTGTGCCATAGAAAGCGGTGAGTGTGCAAAGACTGTGTGTTCAATGTGAATGAAATTTTGGTTCAGCATTTCCTCTGTTTGGTTATGGAGGTGTTTGGCAGTGTAGATTGCAGTCAACTTGACCTTTCCAGACTCTGAGGAAGGCGAAATCCGCCGAAACGTCAGCTTGTGCGGCGTAAATAAAGAAATAAAGTAACACCTCGTGTTTGCTGAACAAAAGTAGAAAGAATTATTCAATCAATACCGAGGTTAATAGAAAGTCGGACGTGGGAGTTATTGTTCTTATATTATACACAATATCCGGCCATGAAAAATAGTAGCAAAAAAATGGTTAGACATTCTGATCAACACTCGGCTTTATTGAAACTCGAAGTCAGAAGAAGGATTACGAACAAATTACTGGTACTACCGTGTAGTTGTAAAAAGAACTGCGTGTGACGCAGTGGTCGGAGGACCCCTGCAACAAACACATGGAATCGATCCTTGCGCTCATGGCCCACCAAGCCCTCCATCGCTCCAGGGTCGGCAAATTGGTACCAAACTTGTCTGGGAGGTTAGCAGCATTAGTTCTATACATCAGTGGGCCACAGAGAGTCGTTGTAAACACCAGATATGCATTCAGTTACCTCCAAACGATGCTTAATAAAGTCGAATGCATGACGCATCTCTCAGCGATTGATCAACGCCGGGTCTTTATCCTTTTTTTACTGCATAATTAAGAAAAAAGCGCTACAATTGATTCGCATCACCATTTCTGCTTGTAGTGCGCAGAAATCACTTAGCTCATCATTGAGAAAGCTGCTACAAATCCGCCCACAGGAGCTGGCACTGGAATCAGTTGCGGCAACACAAAAGCGTCCGTAGTATTTTATGGCAACAATGTTTCAGCTTCGTATGTTCCTTTCAGAAAAGACTTCGCATGCCTACATCCAGATGACTCACTTCATATTTTCAAACAAACCAGAAAAGGGATGAAAATGCAACTGAAGACATGGAAGTTTCGCCTATATTCGTTGGAAAGTCTTTGTCGGCAACAAATTTTCCGTTCCACTTCAGTCATCTCCGCTATGCCACCTTTGCTTCCTCCCTTTTCAGACTGTGCTAGAGAAAAATGGTCTCAAGATAGTCAGTGAACCCCATGTTGCTTGCTTTCATTACATAACTAATCGACAACTGTGTGGCATTGTGCAGGAATGTTATTATAAGAAATTGGAGAGATGTCCTGATTTTTCTATGATATGGTTGATTGCTCGTTCCGTGTTAAAATCAATTCCCATTGCTGCACGTCTTTTTTTCTAGCTTAGTAGTAGGTGGAAGGCGATTTCAGCAAGCCTCCAACTGCATACTCACAAATAATGTCTCTTTGACATCCTCAAATAATAACGGATTCTGTATCATCGTGTTTTTGTCGGAAAGTAAAGGCTCTAAGACATATCTGTAATACATGTTCTTTCGAACTCCCTCGTTGAGCTGATGCGAGATTGGTATACGTTGTCGTTGTTGTTCTTCTTCTTGGTGTCGTTAAATGGCTGACGTTACAACGACTTCTTCCTCAGGACTCTGCCGTGGAGATCACCTTTGTGTTGCTCACGTGGGATGAGGAATTAAGACTTCTAAGGCTCTAAGATAGAAGAAAAATTCTAAAACCGTTGTAATTCTATATGTATGCTAACAATGCTTACTAATGCCAGGAATTTCTATCGTACTGTGAGAAAATTAGCCACATATGCAAACCTCCGATTCACAAATTCCATTTGTTTCTTTGCTGACTGCGTGAATACGCCGTAGTACGGACTTGAAGAAACTCCGTGGAGAAACCTTGCAAAGCTATCAATAACTAACCCGAAAGAGATTAGTCAGAAACCATAGAATTCATAGTGAAGATAGATACCTCAACTACACAAAAACTCATCACTCCGACCTATCTTCTCGTTCCTCATCGAGCAGCTTCCGCTGCCCATTCGTTCGTGTCGCACGACACATGTCCCTTCGACGGATACAAAGACCACGGTTTCTTTCGTTCAACATCTTCATGAATAATTCCTGAGCAGGGGATACAACGGTGATCCTGGTGAAAGTTTAATAATGTGTGAAACCCATTACCTAATGGTTCTCGCTCAGCAGTTCTCGGCCACTAGCACACTGCAAAGCTTTGAAAATTCAGCAGTAAATCGTTAGCTCCATGCAACTCATGTAGCGCCATGTTGGAATCTGAACTTGGTGGTTCTATGAGAAAAGTCTTTTTGTAAATTTCGAACTCTCGGCCTTCGTAGCACGAATGCGAAGTCGATGAATGAACCGACTGGAATGCTAGCGTATGTTACTAACAACGACAACTTTTCAAAAGCGGGCCAGAAAAGCAAAGAACATCGAAGCCCAAGTGAATTTCAAATTTGTTTCCCCGAATTTCTTTCATCTCTTTCTCTTTGTCGGCTCCCCACTTCCCATGAAAACTTTAAAAACTACGATAGACCAAACCAGCACAAACTTTGAGATATTAGCGACTATGGTTAACGAGGAGTTTAAGCTGATGTAATGAATTTCATGACGGTGATTTTCACTGCGAGACTCCTAAAGCAAACAAGAAGGGAGCGCCTCTGGAATAGTAAAGTACTACTGACAGTTTTGGTCCTCTCTAGCGGACAAAGTCAGAGAATCTTCCACACTGTCCCTTTCGCTACTGTGTGGAATGTCTTCTAGAAATTCAAAAGGTATGGATCTGGGACAAATGTTAGCAGACCATGTCCACATTAAACGACTCGAATTTTTCGTCGATGCTCCTATTTTCAGCTGAAAGCGAACCAACCACCCAATATTGCGTTGATCTTCTTAATAGACATCATCAGATATTCAGACATTCATCATCAGACATTTTTGTAGGCATGTATTATTACCCTTCCAAGTTTACTTCCGAATTTTAGCATCTTGCTTTAGCTCAGAGTTATGAACTTCTACAACTCGCTATCCTAACAAAGAAGGTTTGGCACACTGGGTTCAGAGGAATGAGGTTATTTTTACCGCTTCTAACCCAAAAGCAGTGAGGACTGAGTATGCCCCTCGGCAACCTTGCGGCCTCTTCTATAACAAATGCAGTTCTTCTTTCCGGTTTTAAGACAGCCCCAAACGCAAAAAATGCTAGGAGATACGAAAATATGTGATCCACTATAACGCAGAAATAAGGAACCTATTTTCCGAATTCGCTCGCATTTGTCTTGGTTCACGTTTAGGAGCCATTTCATGTCACACCATTAAACCCCGTAGCATGGACGAGATTCCTCGTACAACTCAGATCCTAGGAATTTCTCCCTAATACGAGATTTACACTACAAATAACAGGATGCAGACGTTGGCAAACGTTCAAGCACAGTCAGGTTCTGAGTTGTGGACACATTTCGACTGTAAGAGCCACTAGCAACAGAAAAGAACACTGCGAAATAAGTACCTTCCGTGTATGCTACCAGCAATGAACACCTGTCGAGTCCAACGTACTAGCTTGGTCTGAATGAAGAACGAAGAATGGTCAGAAAAGAAATGACCTTAAAAGAGACCCCTACCCTTTCGATCGTCTGCTGGAGAGAAATGGCGTTAACCTCGGCGCAGTGGACGTGTTCACGGACAATGATACCGAGTACGCGTGAGACGCAATGTTTGAGCCTCAGTTATTTCAGACTGGTATTCGCGCTGTTGTTAGGCAGTTGTGCTGTCCTAGGCGTGCAGTATGCGCATAATGGAGGGGTTGAATTCTAACTTGGTTATTTAGCAGTTGTGTGCTGGTGCACGAGTGTGGTAGGGTGGTCCATCTACGGTAGAACATCCTTGGCGTTCTTCACATTGAGAGGCGTTAGCAATTTTGCGTGCTGATTTAGAGCCACAAAGTCGTAAAACGTCTAAGCATTGCTAATGCAGTAGTGAAAGGCAATTCTCCACCATCAGGTAGAACGGATTGACTGAGACTGCTGTCAGAGGGTAGCTCGAAGAGCCAACCACGCCCGTACTTCGTGCTCTTGCGTTACTTGTCGAGTACGCCTACCACTTGATCGTGTGAATAGTGAGTTCACCCGTCTTTCTTCTATCCGACTATATACCAGTGCTTTTAGATGTGATACTTCTATTATGCGTATCATTTTGATCTGTCATTGTTTCTCTCGTTGTTTCTCGCGAAAAAAACTAGTCGAGTTGAGGATATCAGAAGAGTGTTGGTATCTTCGCTTTGTGATTACAACTTTCAGTGGGTTTCATTTCGGGAGTCGTCATGCGCGACGACATAGGTCTTGGTCCCAACGTAAGCCGAAGAAAGGTGAAGATAGTAAAAAACGGGGTATGTCTCCTTCAGAGCAGTTTTCTGGACCGTTTTTTTGTTCGTAGCATATCATGATTAGGTGTACTAAGTTAAGGTTAGAGTTTAAAGCCGCATTCTAAGATTTCACTGCCATTATTTTAAGGAAGATCGTGAGAGTCGTGGCTCAGTCTCAGAAGGAAATTCTTCTGACGATTTCTGTCTTCCAGTTAAACGAGGACGAGTCTTGAAGAATAAGGTGAATTATTCTACTACAATTTTTTTGCTTGGAAAGCTGCAACATGATTGAATATTGTTAAAAGTCAATGTGGGGCGGATAGCACAGTGGTAGTGATGTTGGTCATCAAAAGCATGATTTAGATCGATTCCGCTTCGGCTCAACCAAGCCTCTCATCCCTTAGGGGTCGGGAAATTGGTATCGGACTCGTTCGGGAAAAAAAAACCACTCTCTGCAATTCAGTTGGGAACGCTCCAGCCCGGCTATCTGAGGACTCTAGGGAGAATTGCCTAACCAGCATTCTACGACGTTCATTCAAGATGAAATTAAAATCCTCAAACGATAGCCGTAGCCACCGGTAGAAGTTGGAAGATCTTCATGCACAATGGATGTGGGAAAACGAATCGTATGTGAAAAGTGCTGAGGTAGACGTGAAGACGAGTCATATCCGTACTTTTGTAAATGGGCTATACTAGCATGTTAACATTGGTTGTATCATTCTACAACATTTACAATATTTGTTTATCGTATTTTACGCGTATAAGTTTCAGTCACATCGAAAGCTGAGTTCTTATGCCTCGATTAAATCTGAGCTCTTGGTAGAGAAGCGGAAGCCACGAAAAACGCCTCTCGGAAAGCTCAAAGTGCCAAAATCTTCTGCGCGGCGTGGGTTGTTTCGTTTTCTCACTGAAGTATTTCAATGGCGAGCAAAGTAAACTAATATCATAGTTCCTTGCTTAGTTTTAGATGATGACTATGAAGATGAGGAGGATCCTGATTCGAATATGTCAGCGAGGATTTTGGATATTATAGCTGCGTTAAATGGCGGGAAAAGAACGAAAGTTGGAATAGCTAACTGCTTTGAAAATAGCACCGCTCTTGACTACATAGACGTTTGTCTGAAAGAATCTGAGAATATGCAGGTACGAACGTCTATTCTCCTTGCTGGCTTAGACGAAGTTCCAGGCTTTTGTGTAATAAGCAGGATTGATAATGTCTTTCGCATGTGGAGTCGACCATGAGACATAGCCTGTCATCCAGCTAGTTTTCTCTTTTAGGAGGTGGCTCTTGCGCTAGCGATCGCAACTGACGTGTACAGTTTCCGGGTGGATCGGACGCACAACGACGCGCAGGAGACTCGCTACACCTTCATCCGCGGTAAAAGCGATGCAGAAAAAGGTAGTGGGCGACCGCAACACGCACTTCAGCTTCGCCATTCACCGTGTTTAAAACTCGCTATAACAAAAGCGGATTGTCTTGCAGTTTTCTTCGACCAACATGAGCATTGAAGTTCGGTTTCTCCTGGTACTTCTTTTGAAACTCGTATCAATTTTGCTGATTTGAAGGGATTAAATGCGGTGAATGGTAGCTGAACTACACCCTCCCCCTTTCTAATTTTAATCGTGGGTTTCTGTTGTTAACTGTTTGTGCTATGCTGTTTGTAAAATGGAATTGTGGGTACGTTTCTGTTGTAACACTCTCAACGCTCTAGCAGAGCTATTTTAGACGAATATCCAATCTGGGGGAGGTTCTTCTAGCGGGCTGTGGTGTTCCACTGCAAAGTTGTGATGTTTTGTCTGTGTTTTTCATAGAACTTCAAGCTGCATGTGCAATATGTGATGTAAGACAAATTATCAAACGGTGTGAGTGCTCGTCTTGCTTTTGGTGATCTGTACACTGTTCCGGATGTTTGTGTTATTGCCTCTAATGTTCCTTTGATACTGAAAAAGAAATGGAGAATCAAAATCCGGAGAAGGCGCTCGATCTTAATGTGGGGACGTGTAGTGTGTTGCAAGTGCATCTTTAGTTTCTACTCCTCTGCTGGACATATGAATAACCAAGTATATCATAGCTTTTATAGAGGCTAGGAATGATATCCTGCCATATCAAGAGTACCAGATTTTTTTATTCTCAGCTAGAAAACACTTGGTACCTTTTAGACGTGTTCGCCTTAGCAGATTGAAAATTTTTCGAGTGCCTCTCGTCTGTCCAAAATGTGTACAAAAGAAAAAGATCAGTTTCCAGCAGTATACCACCCATTTTTTGAACTCATCTTCACCTTACTTCCTTATATTTTAGCTATGCTGCTTGCTGCAGATGAAAATTGTGAAAATACCAAAGAAAAGAGGAGGAGGAGGAAGGTTGAAAGTGGGTTCCTTTCTAACTAATTTGTTAAATTTCCAAGTTTTTAAATGGATGTTTGCATTTTTGCCTTACATTACTCTTCAGAGGATCCCGAAGCAAGAAGAGAGCCAGAAATCGAGCAAGATGGGTGTGATCTCAACAATATTCACCAATCAGAGTGGTTGGGTGTCTCAGGTACTTTAGCTCTGATCGACATCCTCGTACAAATTTTTGTTCTGTGCTGTTTGGGTGATTTTGTCGTCTGATTTTTCAGTATTTCACTTTTCAAATCACTGTAGTCTTGGTTTTTATATGAACGGAATATCCGAAGTGTAGTTTTCTCAGCTGCGTTCCACAGTGTAGACTTCAGTTGAGCTTTACTAGGTTTATTTTTAGGACTTATTTTATGGAGCTCCTACTTCGTGGTTATGTTTTAGTTCATGAGAACTTTCACTACATGTGTAGTGTATGCCAAGATATTTTATGTTCATGTTTTAGCTTCTGATACCTTTGACCAGACGTTTGGTTTGAAATTCCCATTGAAAGGCGGCTGTCTGCAACATTGGAGTTTTACACAAGAGTTGCTCGAAAGAATCCAGAGTAGGCAACTTGATATTCGGAAGACTAGACGGGCAAGTTTTGGTTCACTTGTGAAGATTGACTTGTTAACTTTGCTTTATCAACTCATTTTAGATTATTTTAGAAGCGAAAATTGATGTCTTGGAAGAAAATACCTCCGCTGAACTTCTATCTGATGTACACGGAGTTTATACAAGTTCGTTCTGGGTATATTGGAGGGGTTTATTTATTGAAATTTTTTGTCTTGTTTTACAACTTGCTTTTAACGCTGTACATATATCTATCGAGATGTACTTGATAGTGCTTGATGGATTTTGAAGGTGAAAACTTATTTTATAGCCGTTATGGACTTCTCTAAGAGCAGATTTACATATAGCCTATATCTCCGCTATTCCAAAAAGCCGTTTTACTTAGGCGACAGCAAGTCTTGAGTTAGATCGAGTGGATGCTTTGGCAACGTTCCGTGCACGAAGAGATATTACTGGAAAGATTATAATTTTACATGATGCTATGGTTAGAAAACCTGCTTCACGAACTGTATATAGTATAAATGTCGAATTGCCGACTGTGAAACAGTGTATAGGTTGGATCTTAGTTATATTATCAATTACTTTTCGGTGTTATGGTAGCGTGAGAGGTGCGTGTGACGGCGTGGTCGGAGGCACCCCGCAGCTCACACATGGGATCGATCCCCGCACCCCTGGCCCATCAAGCCTTCTATCCTTTCGGGATCGGCAAATTGGTACCAGACTTGTCTGGGAGGATGGCAGCACCGGCTCAATGCATCGGTAGGCCACCGTGAGTCATTGTAAAAGCCAGATATGCATTCAATCACCTCTAACGATGCTTAATGAGGTCGAATGCAAAGCGCATCTCTCAGGGATTGATCAACGCCGAGAGTTTTATTCTTTTATTTTCAAGGTTGATCCACACGTTGTACTTTGTTCCCATCAGACTATCTCCACATTTTTAAGCCATGATAGCAAACGCACTGCGAAAGGAGCCTACGACCTGGGAACACTATTTGCTTGAAGATAATCCGCGGTTGTACAAAACTGGGCAGTATTTGAAAACTGGTGATATGACAGGCTACGTTTTCCAAGAACGTCCTTTCTACCATCACTTCGATCCTGAAAAAGAGTGTGAGTGCTTTATCCTTGGTAAATATTATAGTTTTGTAAGTATTCTTGCATGTAGAACGGAAGGAAATTCATTGGTTAGCATAGTGTTCAATGCACTCAGCGAGTTAAAGGGAAAATGCTCAACACTGTTTGCATTAGTGAAATGTGTAGTTTAGGGCACTGTTTCGTTAGAAATAACGTTTATATTATCGACAATTATATTTATATGTACTATATATATATATATATATAATTATATATGCAATATATATAACGACAATTTTCAGATAACGTGAGCACTTGAGTGGTTAAGAACGTGATAAAAGAGAATTTGCTTTATCGCTGTGTGCATGTGCCTGGTGTATATTAGCCACCGACATCATCTCACCGTAGTTATTTTCCGCCACCCTCGAGAACGTCATACAATCACTAGAATGGGGAAACGGAATGGAAATCGATGGTCAGCAATTCCATCGTCTTTGTTCCGCTGGTGATATCGTTCCTATAACACCAGGGAACGAATACTAGCCGATTTAGATAACACTATGGAAAAATTCCTCTTTGACTAAATTTTATAGAAACGATGTTTATGAAGGATGAATGATTGCTTTATAACCCTTCACATTCAACGGAATGAATGTCTCCAGATGCTTTGGCTACGTCTGTCTAGTGAGGAAATCAATATCACGAGCGACTCCAATCCAGAGCTGAACATCAGGAAGCGAGAGGTTGAGGAGATTTCAACAGCGTCGAGGATGTAATGATGAGAACAAATAACGCCCAATTTTCCATTCCACGACTTTTCCGGTCTTAATCGACGCTTCGGAAACCTGGTCGCTACGTAGGAGGGACGAAAGATCACAGCCTTATAAAACGCGCAGTTGAAAGGAAGATGCTAGGAGTACCCCGTATCGTGCAAGTGACAGAAGTGATGCGAAGCTCTGACCTATGTCAGAGGCCAAAAATTGTTGAAGGCCCAGTTCCAAAATCATTGAAGCAATGAAGTTTGCAACTTGCAAACTGCTTTGGTGATCAAGAAATTATCGTCAGTTCTCGAAACGGCACCTTTGTTGCGAATGTTTCAGAGTTTCTTACTTGATAAATTGAGTAAAACACCATAGTTACTTGATGTTGTTAGAAATATTAGCATAACATCCAACCATTGTACAGTAATTAGAAAGTTGGTGAACCAGTTCTGTGTACGAAAGTAAATCATTGCATTTGAATGAAGGTTCTAAAATGAAGCAATAGAGGGACGGCTTGTTCATGAATACCTTGTTTTACTTCAGTTGTGCGGCTTAAATTTTTAGCTGCAGACGATCCGAGGGAAATGTTTTCATTCGTGGAGAAGAACGCGGACAAGACATTGTACACCTTCAAGAAACCGCCGAAAGGAACAACTCTTGCGCGCCTAGCACCGTTCATTCGTGTTCCTGTGAATAAATATGCAAATCCTCGAAATAGGAAAATTGAAGATGTTAGTATCGGCTTCAGAATTTCTTTTGAGAAAACGATTCTGATAGAGTCTGCAATTTTATCCAGATATACTTCAAAGAGGATATTGACGTGAAACTCTCTCCTGAGGCTGTAAACAATTGCGACCTTTTGAGATTTACAGAAAATGCATGGAAGCAGTTGGATACTCACGACTTGGTAGGTTTTTTCTTCGGTGTTTCTTTTTTATTATTTTAAATTATGCTTTTAGTGCGCAGCGGATTTTGCTTTAATCAACTTCAATTCCTCCACTGTAAAATCAACGGAGAGTTCTGTAGTGGAATTAAGTGAAGACGAAGTGATATTTGTGGGCAATAATGACAAATCGCTTTTGGTCCGTCTAAATGATCGCCGTGAAGAAGTTCTAGCTGACTCCGAAAGACCAAACGGCGAACTTGAACAAACGGCGCGATATCGGTCCGGTAACATAGTGAAAAAGTGCTCCAACACAATAACACGCTTAACAAGAGCGATAGAAGAAGAGGAAATAGATGAAGAAGATCTCAAAGAATGGAGAACATCACGGTTTTTGGAGACTATTGGGTCTCAAGAAGGGCGTTCCCTTCTTGAGGGACAGCATGGCGAGTTTTCCGAAGTGTGCACCTCATCAAATTCAAAGAACGACGAGCTAAAGCAAAGAAGGCAAATGGTGGCTTCAGTTGTTGGAGCAGGTCGTGAGGCTTTCGACTGGCTGGTATCAGAGGCAACAATTCTTAGTGATATCCCTCATGTTTTTGTAGGTTTCTATCCATACAGTTCAGTTAAGACTTTATGTAATTAATAAATCATTAATTGCACATTTAAGAAGCGTGGTATACATCCTGATATTCGACATATTGATGCGATCTACCATATGAAAGTTTTCAAATTTAAAGTCACCGTTGAGCAAGCTCATGAGAGTTTGAGGTAGTTTTTTATTTAACTCGAGCAACTTATTGCTTTTCCAACAGCATTCCATCGTTTAGGCAAGCGGAACGTATCGGAGCTGGTATGACACCGGAAGAACTGGCTGTGTTGAAGCAAAAGTGTTTTCGTCCCGGTCGGTATAATGGAATTCGAGATAGTGGTGAAGTGTCGGTATGATTGTTTTTAACTGTCACACGGTGTTTTAGTTCTCAAAAACTTTTTGTTAACCTTGGCTTTGATCAGTAATTCCGTTTTTTCTTGATGAGCAAACACGAGGTAGTTAACACCATACTTATTCTGTAGTGGCTAACGTTTCGGAGGTTTCGAATTCTTCACAGCCCGGAAAGACCAATTTGATACGTAATCTACTCAGCCAAACACTTTCACACCTCAGCAGAAAAAAAAACTCAACTAAATTTTAATCGCATGGGAAGCACCTTTTCGAACACTAAACGTTTCGTTCCTTTGAAGCCTTACAGTTATTATTGGAGACCAACCTTAAAAAATCTTGCATGGAGCTGAGCCAAGTCAAAAAATCAGCCTAAGATATGGCGCGTGGTCACAAGGCGCTCCTTCCTCTGGTAAAGTTTTTTGCGAAGCCAGCGACTTTGATTTCAATTCGTCTCTGTGATACCTTTGCGTGCTATACATGCCTAGTGAAGTAATTTGTTCACCTATAAGTTTCCCACCTAGGTGTTTTTTCATTCAAATCTGTCCGTTTCGCCAGTGTATTAGTCTTTGCACGCTTTAGAGGAGACCAGCTACACTACTCAAACTGATTTAATCACAATCTCTACCACTAGGGCAAGTTATGCAAGTGTACGTTTCGCGTAGACGGGTATACTAACGGTTACGAACTAGCTGGCTTCTTAAAATGGTGGTGTTTCTATCACTGTTACTGATTTCTCTATTCCGGCCCTTTTAAGCATCGCTTTACAGTTGCGTCTGCTTCGTTGGAAATAAAGGGATGATTAAGCGGTACAATTTGTTCGTTGTATGTTCCATTCTCTTCGTAAATTATCCCGCTCTTTTGCTTCCATATCTTACTGTTTTCATATCAATTTATGATGAGCGCATTCGCTTGTGTTCACAAAATAATGGCATGAAAACCAGTTTAATGATTGATACAAAGAATAAGGTCGATTTTGGACGACTATTTTAAAGTTCTATAACTCGGCTAAAATAAAAATTCAACCCGTTTCTGCCGACGCATGTTTTTTCGTGATGTGAAAATGGGACAAAGTCCGATTTGTCCGACATGGAACCACCACAAGATTCTTTCCGGTGGGAATTACTTTGGGAAGTGGTTAGGAGCTTCATCTCAGTCAATGTTCCACAGAATTTCGCCGACTATCGTATGTAATTCCTCGCATTTGTTCCATGTTTCTTCGTGCATCACAATGCTATCGAGAACGTGCCTTTTTTCATAATTGAAGCGCGGAGCAAACTTGATGGTAGATATCTGTTTGCTGCTTGTTCAATTCCTTTCGCAGTCGTCATGATTTTTGACCGTTGTAGAGTTGGCCTGACGAACATTGATTAGTTAACATTGAGTTCTTCAGTAATATCTTGAGCAGTTTTTCGAAGGCCAGCTTCGACTAGGGTTTCTGCATCTTTTTTTTACATAACCCATATTTGTTGTAAATTTGTTGACCCTGGAGGGATGAGTAGGTTCGTTGATCCATAGCAGAGTGGGTCAAGGGCTTTGCGCGTACTAAATGGCGTTACCACTTCTGTTTCCTGTGCTCAACCGTATTGAAACGGTGTTTGCCATTGAATCTTCTTCGAACTGTAAGTTAGAAGGCACTTTGTTGTTTCGTGCTTTGACGACGTTTATAGTTATTTGTGTACGTATACGCATTTTTGGACTCATGAAGCGTAACAATGTGAATTTCTTGCTTTGAGAGTATCACTTCAGCCGCTTTAAGTGCATTTTAAATGGAGTACTAGGAAGAGTATAATACGGAAAGTAACTAACGGACAAAGGATGGGGCAATATACTTCACACTTCCCTTTTGTTTAATAGTAGAGAAGATTCGATGCATATTTGTCATATACATAAATCGTGGAAAACTCACGATGTTGCAACTTTGTATTTCCATGCTCCAAAACAAGAGCGGTATCACTTCGAGAGTTTAAAAAACTGGGGGTTTAGTCAGGCCAGGAAATGAACTAAAATCTATTTTCTTCTTACTGTGCTGTAAGCATCTAGTAATAAAGCAAGATTTAGAATTGTACAGCAACATTGAAGTCAGTAAATATTTGCCACAACATATGTTTGTACACCCTAAGGCGGAAAATTCTGTTTTTTTAGGGTACTAATATTAAATATTGCGACTTTCCAGAGATTCTATCGCACAGATCCGTGGAGTTTAGAGGCTGCCACGATATCCTTTTCTGAACATTACTTTGGCTCCCGTAGCTACCCCAAATTGTGGGTTTCCTTAAGTTTTTGGAATGTAGGAAAATTGCGTTTGCTGCGCACCTCTTTTGCTCGAAAATACTTTGGTGATCATTCAGGGAAGGTGCTTTACTACAACTGCGTAACGATATACAGGAGGCAGCGAAGAAGATCCCATCTACTTCTTCGTATTACGCAACAAACAGTAGGAAAGCCATTAGTTACGACCAGAAAAGTTGGACGAGACGCCTGAACGAAGCAATATCCTTGTTTAATTCTTACATGGACAAATGTGAAGGAAAGTCTCTTTGCAATAGAAGACCACTGCCGAAATTACCTGAACGTTCGTACAATTCGCACTGTCAGTTTAAGTCTGCTCGAGTTTTAAAGCCAAAAATAGGATGTTCGGCTAATAACTCTGTAGAAGAAGAACCAAACGACACTTGTATGAGACAAATGAACAAGAGGTGAGAAATATATCGTGTAGTTTCGTCTTTCTTTTATATTGTTGGTTATGGTTACGGTGTTCATAAGGTGTAAGAAGTTTTTTACATGTTGAACACGAAATCATCATAAAAGAAACGAAACGTCATAGAGCGTCAGAGTGAGCTTCAGTATGCTGCAAATTATGATTTTAATTTATGGACTGCTTAAAAATGCCTAATGCTCTCGACATTGATTAGCCCGTGAGGGATGCGCCATGCATTCGACTTCGTTAAGCATCTTCGGACGTGATTGAATGCATATCTGGTATATTTAACCACGATTAGTGCTCCTTGTAATCCTTAAGACTCAAAGTGAGGCCAAGTATTATTTTTTGGCGTTTTATCATATTTCAATGGTTTATTGCACATTTTTTTTTGTAATTGCTATTCCCGTCGTATCTATAATTCGTTTTATGTAAAGGCACGATGTTTTGCTAACTTCGTTATCTTTGGCTACTGTTTGGCATAACTCTTCTCGTGAAGAAAGAAATGTGCATATGTCATTTTGAAAAATGCTCTCAAAGTTTGTTTTCAATGAAGTTTATTATAGTAACGGAGTCCCAGATGCTGATGCACAGGAAGGGTGTTATTGTAACGGTAACAATGATGATGACAACGATGGTGGTGGAGATGCTGGAAGTATTAGCAGCTTCATTTATCCCGATGATGCTTGTCCTGGTGTCGAAGAAGAAATCCGTGCTATTAGGGATCGATCTGAGTGCAGGACAGCAACTCCTGCTAATAGCTTTGGAAAGGTTGAAAATGACGCAGGCCGAAAGAGTGAGTTGGGAATTCTTTTGTTAACACATTTGCGGCAAAGTTATATATTCGACAACTGCTGATGATTCTTCTATTATTACTGCACTTGAACTCTTGTGGACTTAAGAATTTATAGTAGAGTGTTTGGACTGTCTCTTCAATGCTATGAATATCTTTCAAAAAATTTTTAATTATAAATTCTTGAAACTTCATTTTTAGAAAGTTTAAAACGGAGTTTATATTTCTTACTTGATACTTGATACTTGAACGGTCCCTTCTCACTGGTTGTGTGAGCCCCAGCGTAATCTCCAGTTTTCGGAGATTTGCTGGTTAAGCCATTGTGGTTCCCTGGAGTCCCAAGGTCAGCCAGGCCAAAGTCTGCCCCAGGTCGTCACCACCACAGGCAGTCGCCGCGGTTATGGATTAGAGGGAGGTTTGACACTATGCGATTTTGATACTAGGACGGTGGTCGATCCTGGCATTGCTTTGTATTTCTGAGATTTTTAATTCGAAGCGGCAGCAAGGACCAACGTTTGAATGTAGGACATCATTGCGCCCTTTTCAACGAAAAGCCATGTTGATCTCCTCTAATGTTCGTAGGACTACCCTCGAAGATGGAAGAGTGAAAGGAAACATTTTTATGAGCTCTAAAAAAGTTGGAGTTTTATCGCAGTAGAATGAAGAACGTCACATTTTGTTAGCAGAGAGCTTTGAATTACTGTGTTCTATTCCAAGAAGCAAATTTCATAGTGAGCTGAGATGTGTTTTTCAAATCTGGCTCGCGCTTTTGTTTTCGAGCGTAAATGAGTTGAAAGCGATGCATTCGGTCGCGAATGTGTTCTTGCTTATTGTTTATGCTTAGGACATTAACATACAAAGGCGAAATGAATTATATCAAACTCCGTGACTCTATGGAAACTCCCATGGTAAATTTTGCATCGTTTGAATCAAAAAGCATAGAATTTTAGGCAAGGTATATTCTTTGCTAACAGGTCACATGTTGTCGTATTCAGCCAAGGTAAAGCCGTCATTTTCGAGATCGCACGAAAGAACTTTGTCGCTATTTTGTCAAGGTTCGTAACTCGAAGAGGCATGAGACTGCTAATACTGAATTTCATGCAATGTGCCGCTATGGTGTATCCCAGTTTTCTGAACTATACTTCTCTATCTTTGAGAAGCCCCAAAACTTCATTTTAAAAAGGCTGTATTTACTCATAAGCATTGGGACAGTGTTTTTTCCGTAATTATGATGATTCTGTTCATGTACTCTAGTTATCGAATAGTTAACGGTAGCCATCGAAAAGTTAACCCCGTCCATTATGCATTTAGGTCGAACTAAAATCGATAATGTGGAACAGCCACCAAAGAAACGTGAAAAGAAAGTGAAAACTGAACCGGAGATAAAAGTCGAGTCGTTGGAAATAGGGTAGGACTACTGTTATTCTATTGAGCCTCTGTAAGTATCCATCTATTTACATAAAGTTTTTGAGCCACATTTTATTCTAATTTTGCAGGTACTTTACCAAGTGCGATGTTCACAGCAGTGTTACACTGACAGATCGGTTTAGTATTGCCGATCCCCGTCTGCTAACTCGTAGCGAAGACAAAATATTTATGCGACGAAAACCATTCACCCGCAGTTCTTTTTCAGAATACAAGTTTGAGGATTTTGTGAAACCCGGCTTGCTTCATAAAGTAGGTGTCAAGCAAATTGTTTGAAAATGCAATGTACCAGTAGTTCAATAACATGTTCATCGCTTTCTATTATAACAACTTAGCTCTGCAAATACTATATGGCAAGAGATCTGTAAAATTCCTTCGTCAATATTCACTATCCTAATGTAAGATACGTACTTTTTGTAGGGCTGCTATCCTGGTGTAAAACTCGAGGTCGATGAATCAGTTTATAACGTCGAGAAAAAATTCAGTGGTACATTAACAAGATCTTCAACGGCAGAAGAACCTCGTTGTGATATGGTCACTCCTGATACTGAACTAGACGTTTGTGATGCATGGCTCACAACGTTTGGTGGGTTTCGAGGTTCTCCGGCTGGACCTGTAGATGATATAAATCTGTCGAAGAGCGAGAATATTGGTCCGAACATGGACGACAGTTTCAATGATTCCATCTATTGTCCGAGTAGTACTTCATACAAGAAGGATCGCTTTAACGACATTCGTCCTGATGAATTCAAGGCAATTGGGATTTACGTAAAAGTTGGTTTTCGTTTTATAGTAGTATTGTTAATTGCTAGACTATTATTGTTTAGAATCTTTTGCCAAATAAGGATTTCTATGCAATGACTGAAGAAGAACGAGCAGCTGCCGTAGCCGCTGAGTTTGAAGCCATAGATGCCCTGGGACCCAAGAAGGAAGATGATTATTTGGTCACTGTTGGTAATCTAGGAGTTTTTCGTTGAGTAAACTCATAGGACATATATTTTTTAAAAATCAAAATGAAATGAGTATCTTATTTTATAATTATATATCAGGGTCTGGGTTTCCGTTGCTCAATTGTCCCCTACCATTTGAACACTGCCAAGATGAAGCGCGTTATGAAGTCAATTTTATCCAATCCTTTGGTAAGTTTGCGTTTCTTCCCAAATTTTGTTCCTTTTATGGTTGAGTCATTACAAGCTATTTTTCCGAATTTGTTTTTAAGGATGTTCTGTTTAAAGTACTGCTGTGATCTAAATAATCGCTTTAGAGAACATTCTAGTTAATCGACTTGTTTATTATCATTCGATATTGACACATTTGTGGTCGTATGCAAAGAATTGTAGAAAAATCCATTTTTGAAAGATGCCGAGATATGAACGAAACTCGTCACGTCACGCAGTCTTCGAACGCATGATTACCCTTGTGCAGCACACATGCATTCCACCACACCAATGGTTTTTTTTTTCGTGACAGATGAAATACAGCCGCAACGGTAGTGAGATATGAGCCGTTTCCTGCTCCCCAAATCATTGTTGTTGACGAATGACTGCTGATAGCAGAGCTAGAGTAAAAACTAACTGAGAGAAAGGAAACGCATCAGCTTCGGTTGATGCGGTGGTTAGCACGTGAACTCGGGAAAGGGTAAATGCTGGTTCGAAGTCCACTTAAGCCTCAAAGTTTGGCTCATATCTCAGTATCCTTATGGTTGTATTTCACATAACACTCTGTAACAAAAGAATGGGCAGTAAGTAAAAGTCAAGCACTGTGAGTATCCATTTTGACTGAACAAGTTTTTGCTGTTATGCTTTCTTTATGAACTCGATAACCTCTTTATCACGTATATATTCAGCGTTGTCGATGGAAACCTATCTTCTACGTATCACAGTCTACAAAGGAAGTTTTTGTAACGGGTTTGCTCATCCTTGTGCTATGAGTCCGCGATCTTGAGTCTTGCTTACTCTGCATTTTGTGAAGGACAGAGAGTTTTTTTTATAAGGAATGTAGTAACATGCCCGCTTTAGGATGGGAATTTTGGGACATATACGTTCCTTTTTTGTTACGAGAAGGGAAACCTTAGGTGTAGTATTATACCGTAAATTTGTAGCAGACTATGGTAAATCCCTGGGACTATTGATCAGTGTTCAGCGAGTCATGAGGAAGAGGAAATCATCAAGGTGAGCTCGCACGCAAATCCGAAGACCTTCATGAGTTAAAGCTGCGAGGAAATTATCCAAATTAAAAAGTGCTGGCAAACAGTAACATGTGGTATCGGGTCATATGGGCTAATAAATAAATAATAAGAATAAATCTCATTATGAGTTGAAAAACGCTAGTTTAGAGATCAAGTGTTCATCAGTTTCGCACCATGTCTGTTGAAATCTACGGTCGCGAGTGGGCGAAGTGTAGTCGTGAACTTTTTCAGCGCATTTCATCTTTATTGTTTCTTCTGACGTGCGGAATTTTTCTACTGAAAAACTTTTGTATTCAACCTGGCGGTACCTACCACAATTGTATGAATATATCTCTGCTATAATGTATAACATTCCCTTTATTGCGTATTATTTTTCCACGGCAGGCTGTTTGATGTAGAACCGCAGCGATGCTGAGATATTTGCAAAAATTGGATCATAGCTCAGATTCGACCTATGATTACCCTCCCGGGGGTTCACGTGTTACCCGCTGCACCATTGAGGCCCTCCTTTTCCCTTCTCTCAGCCATTTTTTAACCATAAAGCCCTCATAGTCGTCGTACTAATGCCCAGCCGTTGAAAAATAATACGCACTAAATAAAAAGTTATACATTGTGATTCTGAGTACTTCCTCAGCTTAACTGGGTCCAATGCTGATTTGTGCTCCCCGGATCATTCCCGTTGGCGAGTGATTGCTGATGACATCGTTAGGGTGAAAAAGTTGGCTGTGACAAAAGAGAAGTGAGGGCATCACTGGTGCAGTGGATAGTACGTGTGCTCTTGAAAAGGATAACTGGAGTTCGAATCTGTCCTGGAGTCTGACTTTTGCCAGTATCTCAGAATCGTTGTAGTTATTTCTGCTATACTTACTTATATGCTGAAGTTCAACACCAAGGAATATCTCTTCGCCATAATCAAGTGGTGCACTACACAGGAGACGTCTGTAGATGAAATTCTAGCGAAGATATCTACTTGATGTCACTGAAACTATAGAATATAAAACTCTTAGGCGTTCATAAAGTTCGAGTTTATCACTGCTTCCGGAAACCTTACTCCGGAAACTTACAGGTTATGAATATTACTCACAATTTTCTGATGGTATTATGCTGAAAATATCTTTGTCACATAATTATATTTTTCACCTTGCGGTTCAGTTCTTCCGTTTATGGCTTTTGTTGGAATATCAGAACATATGTTTGTACACAGGCGCTAGCTAGAAGTAACCATCTGAGAATTTTTCAACAATAGTCGAGATCTAGCATGTTGCTAATTCTTTATTCATAGTGTATTTATTTGATATTTATTCCTTATTTTTTGTAACACCCAGAACAACGATCGCACTTCCACGTCACCGAGCGGCGGTACCTTTTAGGACCACGGTGAGATAGGGTTAGAGAACAAAGTGCCGATATGATTCGAAATCAAATTGATTTGGCTTCCTAATTAATATATCAGATTTTCTGCATACTTTTTCTTTTCATGTGAGCAAAACTATATCGCTCTAGTTTACCGATTTTCCTTGTCCTCCCATACTCCGTGACGCCTCGTATGGGCATTGTATTTTCCAACAACCATATGGACAGTATAATGTTTCTTCCACATTGTCTACACTGATTCGATAGCTATTCGAACCCGGATAAAAGTAGTAGGAGTGAGACCAGGAAAACCATTTTCTGTATTTAATGATTCACAAAAACCCGCTTTTTTTGAAAACGTTCACTGACCGATAATTTGGCTAGCAATTAACTGTCCTTTCATTTTAATCGCTGTGGTCATCGTATTAAATCTGTAGGTATAAAAAACGCCGAAATAGAGTTACTCAAAATTCCGACAGCAGTGCATTTGCATAGTGAACTATGGTAGCAGGCAGTAAATAGTAGCATACATATCTTTCATACCCATAGAACGACCGAGCAAAATCTCTTCTACATTTCGCTCGTGTTTACAACCTTTGAAGCACTCTGGTTATTAAAAGATCTCTTTTTGATCAAGAACCGGAAAGTCTGCAAGCGATAAAAATTTCTTCGTATTCGGTTGGACTAACCACAAAATACAGTAGCAGTGCGTTATCGGCTAACATATACCCGCGATGCATGAGTGCTATGCTTGAGACGAGGGGGACAATGTGGGCGAAATGTGTTGAGTTCAACGCATATATTTTTAGCGGGCTTTTTTTTTGTTACACAGAGTTTATTAACTGCATTTTTTGCACTCAGTCACATCCTCTCATGCGCAGATCCTATTTCGAGGGCTGCCCTTGAAAAGCTGCTCTACTGACTTAGTATCTTGCAGAAAACTTTGCTCTAGACGCGTTTATTGACCAGTAATTGGAGTGGTAATTGAATTTTACTTGATTTATTTTACTGTGTAAAGAATCATTATTGTCATGTGAAGCGAACTGTTATGGAAAAACCCAAAGTAGACGCAAGATAAGTTGCAAAACACTTGAAGATGCTGACAGCAATGTCGGCTTTTTATTTACTGCCTACTACAATTTCTTTACCTGCGGTCCGGAGTTTTCCAAATATCTCAGCATAATTGCGGGTTACAGCAATATTATTGCATGATCGACAATACCAACATATAGTTAGTAACGTACGTACCACAGACATCTCGAGCAACAGAACCACTAAGTCTTTTCTTAAACTCCATCATGTTTTTAACCACTCAAGCCCTAGGTTATAGAAGAATTATCGTCTCTGGCCTAAGAGCCAGCAAGTTCGTAACAAACAGGAAATTAGGGCACGTACTAAGCCGTGCAAATTAGAGCGTGTGTCGTTGTGTGTTAAGATGTATTGAGCCGAACATCTGCTGAGTTTTTTGGAGGATTTCTCTGTTTTTCCTACGCGTGATGATCGTGTGGGTATCTCTCCGCCTCATCTGCTGTGAGTTTAAATAAAATTGATGAAAGTGGTGGCTAAGTGAGAAAGCCTGCATGGAGAGCATGAAATGTCGATTCACAAATAATTGATTGACTGTCTTCGAAAATCTAGGTTTCACAGATCACTACACAACCTGACTGCTCAGTCATTTCGTTGTAATGGTCTTAATACTCACACCCCAATTTGTTCTCTCGATTCGGAGGAAGCACAGGACATACCGGGATTTTCTGGATATCTCCAGATTCTTTGTTTTCATTTTATTTTCCATTGCAGTAGAGGTGGTTCATAACTGCTATATGGAATCGTCGCATACTTTTTTTTAAAACTTTAGTAAACCCCAAATATGTTTTAAATATGCATGACAAACCCGATTATCAAAAGCCGACAGCCTTGTGGTAAAAGTTTTCCCACCTCATCTAAAGAAAGAAATCTTTCTAAAAGTGTTAAAAAGTGCGCAGAGTATACCCATTTTTGAAGACCAATTTTCGTTTAGCCTTGGCGTAAATGATCATATTTTTTGATCAGAGCAATTAATGAGGTAATGGATTTGGAAATATAAAGAAAAAAGCTTAGAAATCTGGCAATAGCGCGAAAATGTAGCGAAAGAGATGTGGTAAGGTTCGGTAGGAGGTCACTCTTGCAACGAAAAATTAGGTGTGATTTATGCGTCGTTGCAATAGTGTTAATCTCTGAGGAACTCTGACAAGAACAGTTTTGCGGTAGTTCGATAATCTTTACTTTCTTTCGCTTTCGGAAGTTAAGTATCTTTCAGCTTGCTTACGACAAAGTGCTTTACTCGCGACGTGCACTGCTTGCTCGCTGTCGTGCAGTTGAGCGCAATAAAAACCAAGAGTTTGGTCCCGAAATGTATTTCAAGAAGCTTGATCGAACTCTTGACAATAGTCTGGGGCCAATTGCAGAGAAAATGCTTGAACGATGTAACCCAATGGATATAACTGCTTTGGGTAAGAAAAAACTTTATTCGTTATTCCATCTTCTAGTTGGTACCACATGCGAGCTTTTACTTTGCACGTAATAGTTTTTTTTTTTCTTCGTGAAAGTCTACTCTTTAGATCCAGTCGATGTACTTGACGCGTTAACATATCGGAATTTGGAGGATGTTAACGTGAAGGAAGAGCCAAAGGACCGGTGCGAAACGAGCAATGCAGGTGTGGAAGAAAGTATGCGACAGTTCGCTGCTGAAGTTCGGCAAGCAGATTTTAAAGTTCAAGGTTTGGAATTCAGTTAGACATCAAATGTAAGCCACAATCACATTGTTTGTTGCTTTTATGAGATAAGGCAGCAGACAAGACTATGCTTTCCTGTTTGTTTCTTCTACAGAGCCAACATCTTTGTTTTCTTTCATATTGCCAATAGTTCTTTGAACAGATTTTGTACCAGGCGTCGTTCGAGAAAAGTTGTTTTCTGCGCGCTGCAGAGGGGCACGTGTGGCGCAGTGGTCGGAGGTGCCTTGCAACACACACATGGGATCGATCTCCGCGCCCATAGCTCACCAAACCTTCTATCCCTCCGGGGTTGGCCAATTGGTACCAGACTTGTCTGGGAGGATAGCAGCATTGGCTCGATACATCGGCAGGTTACTGCGACTCATTGTAAAGGCCAGATATGCATTCAGTCATCTCCAAACCATCCTTAGTGAAGTCGAATGCTTGGTACATCACTCAGAGATTGATCAGTGCCGAAAGCTTTTTTATGGTTTACACGGGTGTGCTAAACACAGGAGATACGGATGTTGCGCTGTACAACTATACCCGCTGTTTCGACCCTTACCTTGGCCAACTTTAGGATTAACACATACGTCATTCACTACCTTATTCTGATCCCTCGGTGGTCGGCGAATTGGTGTCAGACTTGTCAGAGAGGTTAAAACTCACTTGGCCAATATGTTCCTCGCCACTCTTTGTTTGGGCTAATTATACGTTCAATCACCTTGGCGATAATTTCTGCAATCGAATCGCATCCATAGTAAATAGGTCAGCATCAAGAAGAGCTCACTCCATAAAAATAGGCGACTGTAAATTGCGATGATGATGCGGGTGAAAGTTTTTAGTCTTCAGAACCCTTCTCAGTGTATTATCCTTGAAGTTTGGAAATATATTGGATCAGATACTTTATATTGTTAGAAAAAGTATGTGTTTACACAGTTCTATGTAGAGTGCTTGTATGTGTGCCAAATTTTGGTTCGAAAGATTAAGGGCGTTTATCTAACAAGAACTACTAAGCACATTGATATGACATATGGTTAAGTGCGAACAACACTGTACATCTTGTCAGAGTAAAGAATGTTTCGAAGCATAGCCACTAGTGGTCCCAATTCATTATTATAGTAACCTATGATTAGTTCCACTGATGTCTCACCAGTTTTGGCATCAATACAGGTCTCCACACGTTCTCCTCAGTCATGCATTGCCTACCACGACGAATGGGAAATACTGGAAAGCATGTGAATGTAGCGAATGCATTAGCTGTCACCCTTTATATGTGTAACGAAAACGTAAGTAATTTGATAGCTATCATTTTCATTTTCGTCATTCTCATCTAAATCCCAACGTTTACATTTTGGTAACGTATTATACATTTTTATGTTTCAGACGCTTACTTTGCTGCAGGAGCGGGTAAACACGAGAGACAAAAATGTTTCTGTGAAAACTGCTGAACCATGGATGGGAAATTTTATTATTACAAACGCTGTTGATAATGGTGTATTTAATGATTGAACGTTAAAACTACTGGTCCTTCATCTATTGGAAGCACTGTTTTTTTCTAAGAATAGTGTGGAAATCAGTTTATTTTATGTTTCATGTTTTTGAAGTGTTACACCATTACGTAACTGACTACTCAGGCTAATATTTACCTCACGTGTTACCGTCGTTTTGCTTTCTAACTCAAACCTAACGTTTCTGTTTTACTCATAGTTTTATCTCTAAAAGTTTCCTCTGTTGATATGCATGGTATCAGTGCTTTATCTTTGCTTCATTGATAGAGTCTAGAAACCTCGCTTTTTATCGTACTAATACGGTCACTTTAGACATCTCAGGTTTCAGTGTTCTTTCATCTTGTGTTGATAGGAAGGCGAGGTGTACACTGCATACTTGTTAGGCCAGAATTTAATTGTTTCTGTTCTGTTGCTTACATACTGCCAGTTGTAGCCTCTTCCTTCGCTTGATAACACACTACATTGATAATCATGTAAATTGATCTCTGTAAATGGCATATTCTAAAAGCTACTGATTCGTGATCATTTGTTCTTTCATGAGAGTCGTGGATCTGCCTGTGCTTATCTTTCATAGTTATCTGAAAATATATTGAAAAGCATGCTCTTCAATGATAATGTTTCGAATTGACTGTCATGTTAAGGCCTGTAATAATAATATCCTGTAAGTTATTTTATAAATGAAGAGTTGTTGCATGTAGGAGTTGGTTTGCCTTTCAAATGTTTGGTGATGAACACAATGTCTTAACATTCACTTACTGCCTAGAAGAATAGGCAGTAAAGCAAGTCAGAACACTACGATTTCGACAGCACCTTCAGCTTAATCGAATTCAGTACCAATTTGCGACCGCAAGATTATTGCCATCGACTAGTGATTAGGACTAGTACTGAGAGCACCGATACATTAAAAAAAAGCGTGGCTGAGAGAAAGACAAAGCAAGGGCTTCGGTGAGTGTGGTGGATAGCACGTCAGCCACAGGAAGGATAATCTCACTAAATCGGAAAGAGTTCGAACCTACCTGTGGTCCCGAGTTTTGCTCATACCGCAACGTCCTCGCATAGGAATACTTAGCTATCCCAGCTATCTATTACATAAGGTTGTCGTCTTGGTGTTAATGGGTGTCGAACTGCGATGTGTAGGGGAAATTTCATCTTACTAGCAAAGTTAACCTGTAGACTATGTCGCGGTTACATTCATAATGGACAGAGAAATCGTGAACATCATGCAAAGTAGTTAACATATGAATATAGGAAAACAATCAGATGGAACTGTGAACATTTCGGTGCTAAAAGTAAAATGTGAGCGGCTAAAAAATAAGAAATCAGCATTTAGTATCGGAGCTGGCAAGGTTGTCAATTTAGCTCGTTTTTTAAAAAGATAAAGGATAAAGTTATTAGTGTCGATCAATCCCTGAGGGATGCGTCATGCGTTCGACTTCATTAAGCATCGTTTGGAGGTAACTGAATGCATATCTGGCTTTAACAAAGACTCGCGGTGGCCTATTGATGTGTCGAGCCAGTGCTTCTATCCTCTCAAACAAGTCTAGTACCAATTTGGCGATCTCGGTGGCGTGGAAGGCTTGGTGGGCCATGGGCGCAGGGATCGATTCCACGTATATGCTGCATAGCGCCTCCGACCGCTGCGCCACACGAGCTCGTTTTTAGCGAACAAAATGTGAAGAAGTCAGGATAATAGGATGTAGTTATAGCACTCTTAACTACCACGTAAAAATAACCGTTAACTCTAAGTTCTGATGTGTCAACAAACCAAAATAAACGAGGAAACGTAGGAAATTGAAAACCCATTGTAGGGGCCAACTCTAGTCATCCCTCTGTCTCTACTGCAGTATAAATAAAGGTTCTGGTTTAAAAATTGCGATGAATGAGAAGACCAGCGAAGTGGCTGAATGGTTTTCAGGGACCGTCACGTCTTAGTGTTCATGCTTTGCTGCAAAGCAGCAAACCTCCTACAGTCCACAAGTGGTGGTAACTGCATGTACAAGTGTATTAGCGCCATAGTGCGATATTTCTAAGTGGAGAAGGCAGATCTTCGATTAAATGCATATCTGGCCTATGGCAATAATTCTAGTGGCCTCCGATTTAGCAAGTAAAGTGCCTTTGTCCTACAAGACAGGTCCGAGAACAACTTTCCGATCTAGGATGGATGCAAGGCTTGGTCAGCACGAAGCAAAGACGTATTATATATAGTAGAGCACGTAAACAAGCGCTACCTGCTCTCAAGGAATCAGCGCATGCGGTCCAAAATGCATCCACCCCACCAACAATAAGAACATCTCTGCACTTCTGTATTTTTGCTTCACAATCCGGCTTCTTAAGTATTTTGTTAAAATATTACTAAAAGCTTGCTTGTTTTGCATTCTACATGTTTAATTTGTTTTTCCCTTCCAACGGTTTATCGCCTCGTTGTGGCTAGGAGGTGTTCCTGGGTGTCGGGCTGCGATCTACAGCGGGGGGATACATCCCTTCAACAGCGTCTCCCAAGCTGAGAAGGAGTCCGGCGTTTCCATCAAGAAGCCCAGCTAGGAGTAAACGAATATCAGGATCGACCACTGTCTTGGTATCAAACTAGTCGCATGGTGGAAAATCTCTCTCTAATCCACAAGGGCGGCGACTACCTGTGGTGGTGACGACCTGGGGCAGACTTTGGCCTGGCTGACCTCGGGACTTCAAAAAACCGCAATGGTTGAACCAACAAAACTCCGAAAAAGTGGAAATTACACAGAACCAGTGAAGACGCGCCATCCTAGTATGCGAGTATCCAAATAATTTGTTTTTCTTTTGTAACCACGCATCCTTTTGAAACATTTCTTTCGTGTGGTGTTTGAACGAACTCACCTTCTATTCAGCTATAGTGCTGTCGCCGTTTGATAATCACTTTTTAAGGTATATTAAAAGTATACTCCTTTTTTTAAATAGTTTTCATATCCTCCCATTCCACCTGATAGCCATGACTCACTGTAACGACAGGAAAGAAAAAAATTGCTGGTCAAAAACTTTATCGCCTTCTTGGATTGGTAAGCTAAGAAGGTTGATAAAATGTTTATTCGGGTAAGGTTTCAACATCTTCGTCCAGATTAGAGCGGATGATCCCAGGCAATGGTCGACAATTGTTCGTTCTCTAGATGTGGTGCCCTCATCGTCCTATTGAGTTGGATCTTCTTCGGCTGAGCACCGTTCGAATGAAGTAACCTCATCTAACTACTCGTCGAAAACAGACAGGAAGCAAAAAATGATAACGACAACTGGGAGTCCCTTGTTTTTGCCACTAAATGTTGTGAATAAAGTGAGAAGAACGAATGTGTGATGGTGGTGAGGTCAGCCGTAAGTCGTGTGTCTCATGACCCCAGGATTTTCTTCGACGACACTGGTTCTCTTGTGGATTCACAACCCATGCTTTTATAATAGTAAACACATTTTTGTGAAGTATTTATGGGAATTTATGGATAATATTTGGAGTCTATTTGTGGATGAGGCGAAGAAATACGGACAAGAGAAAAATCAGTTGAGAGAACCGATAGCTATTGAGAATTGCGTTAAACATACGAACACGGATGAAAATCGGTTTTTACACATACAGACGAAGGCACTCATAAATATCCTTCTTTACGGTGATTTCTAGACTGCCACAGCTGAGGATCGTTGGTGTTCTAGCTCCGGCAGTGGAAAATGTCCTATAAGATAGGAAATTATGCTGAAAACTATGTTTAAATGCCTGTGTTTTACGTCCATTTGCCCAAAAGTGGAACGAAGTGTAGAAAAATAAAACTGTACATTTATTGAACATTTTAATATAAACTGTATGAGGATACATAGGTTCGGTAAAAATGAGTATTGGTGATAAGTTCATGTCGTCTACAGTGGCAGTTACGTTTCATTGATGAGTACCACCGATTGAGTGCTCTGATTTTTCCAGAATTTTTTTCCGGACAATCTATGTCCATCCACTCAAATGGTTACCACCGGACAACAACTATTATCAACAACCGGCGCCCTCTGTAAGAGAACTTGACCAGGTGAGAATGCCTCATTCGAGAGATGCTCAGCTGAGGAGGATCCGATCGGATACGAAGACGAAAAAAGATTGTTTATCAAGCTTGTGTAAGCTCAACAATTCAAAAACGTATGGAGAGAAGTGTTAGATTATTAAGCCAAGGCGAGGTTATAACGAAAATCTACTCCGCTAACGGCGCTTTCTTTAGAGCCGGTTAGATATGACTCCGTTGTCCATAGCCGTTCGTCCTCACGACATGGCTCTTCATAGTCATATCGAGTCGAATCCGATGGAGTGGACTACCGCTTGAACGCGGAACCCATACTCGGCGGTGCCACTTTGTGCAGGGCGGTTCTTCATGTACTGCTATTCAATTTGGTCTGCTAGTGTGCTTTCAAGGTGGCAATGCATCCTGCAGAGGTCTGAGCTTCATCTAATCTCAGCTTAAATAATCAGTACTTTCCTGGATTATTAAGCTAACACGAAGTTGGCAGAGTTCTATTTCCAAGAATATACTATCTATGCCGAGGTCAAATGGTTGTCGGTTTTTAGAAATGTGAAAAACACAGGATGTTCAGGATAAGCCTAGCACATTCGCTTATATCAGGGAGGAAATCGACTCCATGTAAAAGTTGTGGGCAAAAAGCGTCTCTTTGATACTCATCTCTGATACCGAAGGTGAGTGTGTATTTTGTTCAACAAAAATACTTTAGCGTGGAAGGAATCCTTGCTATGAATGGGTTCCATTCACGTGAAGATATCAGTGTATCCGTCATTGCCAGCTGTATATACCGTACTCTCATGATGACGCCAAGAGTTCAGCATTCATTTCAGTTTGCACGCGTTACATAACATGAAACCAAATCTAAATTTGTGTTACGCGGCTTCACAACTGGTATTTGCACCACTGTCTCTTCATGTTTCTTAACAATCTTGTAAGGTATGACCTCCTATAATAAAGTCAGAATTTAACTTTTTATTTAGTGCCTATTGTTTTGTCATGGCAGGATATTATGTGAAGTACAACCGCAGTGCTGCTGAGATATTTGCAAAACTCGGACCCCCATTTGAGGTTCAAACTCGCGGTAACCATTTTCAGAGGCTCACGTGCTACCCACAGAGGCCCGTAGTGCCTTTCTCTCAGCCAGTTTTTACCCTAACGCTGCCACCGGCAAACACCCGTCAACAGGGATTTTTCGTCGTAGATGACACATATGTTGGCAATATTTGGAGTTATTCTCAAATCTGATGAACTAGGATTTTCAAAGGAGAGGTTATTTTTTTACTCCACTTATGTGTCCCATGAATCTCCCTCACATGAGGGATCCCGATAGGCGGTTAGTCGTTAGGCTACCTGGCGTGTCTCCAGGTGGCGGATACGGGGTTGGGGGTGGACCAAAATCGACCTTTGCTTCTCTGAGATGCAGGTGGATCCAGGGGATGGTCTCCCTATTTCTGCTGCGCCAATTTGGCACATACTGTAATTGCGAGGCGTATTCATGCACGCGTGTGTAGGTGCGTTCTACTTAATACGGTTTCTATTATACGAGTCAATTCGGTCAAAAGCCTGCAGTCCAGTGACGGGGAAGTATATGGAGGGCGGTTAGGAGTCGCCTCCAACAAATGAGCTCCATGTCCACTCTGGGAAAGCCTAGCAAGCCGCCCAGGAGTATACCCAGCCCACACGTTCAGAGCACAGCAAGCTACATGTGGGTATCAAAAAGCTAAAACAGTAAAAGAAATGGGCCTCATTCCCCTGACCCCGAAAGAGTCTCCAATTTCCCATCGTTGGGTAGGGCGAATACGGGGAGGCCGCTAAAATTTCAGGGCCAATGTAAGCTGCCTAGATCGCAAATAAATAACGTTACGATGTGGGCCTACAATGCACGTAGACTTGCATCCGAGCCCTCGATAGAAGACTTGCTCAAGCAAAAAGGATAAGGTACGACGTCATCGGTCTGGCCAAGAAGAGAAGACGCCAGCCTTTCACGCCGTCTATGACATCGGAGAAGAACTGTTCCTCGGAACATGCGACAGTAGAGGAGTCGTAGGCCTCGGCGTTCTCGTTAATACGACTTTATCCATGAACATTGGTTCATTCGAACAACTAACAGCACGAATAGCACGTTTACGATTAAAAAGATGCAGATCAATGACAATTTCCGTCGTATACGCGCCGACATCAAACTATGACGAAGAAGTCAAAGCGTTCTACATGGACTTGGAGAAGTTCTACAGAGAAGACCATACATTCTTCAAGGTCATCATTGGGGATTTTAACGCCAATATAGGACCAAGAAGAACGTCTGAAGAACATCACATCAGGACCCACGGATTAGAATGTAACGAACGGGGTGAGCGGCTCTCTGAGTTTATCATGACGACCAAGACCATCCATGGTAACTCGCAATTCCAGAAGCCTCACCCTCAACGCTGTACGTGGGGGTCTCCCAACTGAGAGTACCATAACGAAATGGTAAATTCCCAAAATTCTACACGGGATCAGACTATAGTCTTCTTCGTGTAAGATTCTATTTCTCGCGGAAAGGAGAAAAAGCCGCTAAATTCCAAAACCGAAGTCCCAGAACCACCGCAAACCGGTACTTATTCAATTCATTAGTGGGCTGTTGGGAAGATGCCGTTGTCGATAACATCGACGAGGAATGCATTCAACATCTTCACGTTAGCGCTGTGAAAGCTGAGAGTTCGAAACTCACAAAGAGACGTTTGTCTCCAGAAACACCCGAGCTCATACGCCAGCGTGGAATCACGAACTGCAGACAACCGCGAACTAACGTCCGATCTTGCAAAACAGTGCAAACAGGCGATAAAAGATCTTACAGAGAGAAGAGCAGCAGTACTGGTCGAAGCTGCAGAGGCTGGGGAAAGTATTCGCGAAGCCCACCGAAGCTTCGCCAATTACAAGACCAAGATGATTGCACTCCAACGCCCAGACGGAACAGTTACAGCATCTAGGAAGAGAATGAAGAAAATCATTCACGAATACTACTCAGATCTCTTCGATAGCGCAGTCGAAAGTGCGATGCTAGGAGTATCCCTTTCCATACAAGTAAGGGATGGAATCCGAAGCTCCGATCTGTGTCAACGATCAAAAATCAAAGATGCCGTTCTGTACGCCAAACAGTCGAAGACAAGGTGGGCAGGACACGTAATGGGTATGAATGACAACATATGGACAAGAGCCGTTAGTGACTGGATTCCTCGGGATGTCAAACGTACTGCAGGAAGACCACCGACCCGATAATCAGAGTTTTTCACAAAGAGCCTTGAAGAAAGATATGATGCTCGACGAGTCCCTAGAGCGAGCAGAACCCACTGGGCCACTCTTGCGCGCGACTGGGAAAAATGGAAGATTTACTGGTGCCCGCTTGAGTCACTCGACGATCAACGGGACTACAGGTGATACAGGTGACTCATGTGTTAGTTTAGTATTTAGTCCTCCCGGTATTGATCAACGTCGAGAGCACATCCTAGAGGTGTATTTGTATTCCTGACAGTTTATATTTATGAATTTGACCGTGGTGATCAAATTTCGCAGGAATGTGATCGACTGCGCAATGACATTCTTCCCGAATTGGGACTGTATTTGGAGGACAAGTTGCATGAAACGGTTGTGGAACTATGTGGACGGAAAACTCTTCAGGAACGTAAAAAAAATTTGCCCTTCAAGCTGCTAAACGTGAAGTGAGCAATTTCAAAGCGAGTCTATCTTGTGAATGAACGAAGTGAGAAGAAATGTTTTGTCTAATGAACAGGAGCGCTGTAGAAGCTGCAGAGGAAGCGGCGAAAGAAGCACCGAAGCAGATTTCTCCTCAAGAGATGTTCCGCCGAGCAAACGGAGTAGCGAAGTGTAGCAAATGAAATGAAAACGGGATTCCCACCCATACTGCTTACGAGGTTCTTCCATATGCTCGTACTCATCTGGCCATGCGAAGTATTTTAAAGTAGCATATATATATATACATATATATATATATGTATATATATATATTTCAGGAATACCAGGCATATCTACAGTGAATCTCCGTGCAGCTTTTCGGAAAACATTGTCGCGCATTTGCTAACGTGTGAGTTTTCAGCAATCGTAGAAAATCCTATAAACAGAGTACTTGCAAGAGGGATACGAGGAACTACTCGAAGTGATCTTGCCTTATCGTCTTAAGGGCGGTTTCTCTAATGTCAAACTTTAATTCCTGGAGTGGATTCTGACCCAATTCTTTAATAAATCCAAAATAATCCAGAACTCTGATGTTTTTGATGCAGCAAGGACAACCGCGAACGGGACCCGTCTGTGTCCATTCGGAGACATTGCCGTGTTCAGCCGGACGAAGTCGAGATTCGAAGTGCTTGTTGGCTTGTTTCGAAATCACTTCACTGTTCGAAGTACGAGATCCAGTGATGAAGAGCGAAGGGAAAGCGATTCATAGGCTACAGAAACTCGGAGTTTCGTACTAGAATAGGCAAACTTATGCCTTACTCGAGGTGATATGTAAATTGCAAGGTCTCTATTTCAGTTAATAAAGCTCACAAGGAGCTAAAACATGTTTGGTTAATTTGAGAGGCCAAGGTACTTTTGAGAAGTATCGGAGTCATTTATGCCTCATGTTGTTGCAAGTGCCTGAAGTTGTTGGTATTAGTCATAATAACGGCTTTGGGAAATCTGTCTAGGGAAATTGGTAGCTTTTGAAATTTGTCCTGTAGTGACGACCAGCTTTTGCCCTTATTTGCAGTGAGGTTGCTTGACTGTTGCTTGACGACTTTAGTCTTCTTCATTGATTTCCTTGAATCCTGGTGAAGTACTTTCTCTCTGGAATCTTGGGACAGTTGCGCCAAGGTATTCTCTAGTCTTTACTGCAGTCAGCTGACGACCTTTTCGAATGAATAGCTTCTCCAGACAAGTTTGGTGCCAATGTAACCACTTCGTAGGGGTGGAAAGCTTAGTTGGCACGGGCCGAGGTTGAACCCGTGGTCTTGAACGCTACTCTTTTTGTACTAAAATTTGACCAGAAAAAAAGCATTTAGCGTTCGGCATTGCTCGATCCTTGAATTATGCGCCATTCATTCGACTTCACCAAACACTGTTGGAAGGGACTGCATGTATATCTGCTCTATACAGTGAGTTGTGGTGGTCTACCGATGTATCACGTCATGATTTTTATCCTCTTAGAGAAGTCCGGTAGTAGTGTATCTCCGGAGCTATGGAAGGCTTGGTAAGCCTGGGGCGTGGAGTCAAACCAAAAACCACGTGTGTATTGGATGACACCGCTAACCACAGCGCTACGCATGTACCTTAATGGTGTTTAGCATGACGGTCCGTTCCATTCAAAACCCACCATTTATCTTCGCTTCATGTCTCTCTAGCCATAAGTACCTATGTACTTTATCACAATAGCGCAATGTTCAGCCTTTTCACACAAGGAGTCAGAGATGGATGCCTCAGATAACAAGGTGATGTAGAGGACATCGGAACTATTCGGACTGAAGTTTCAAGAAAAGAATAAAGCTTTCGGTGTTGATCAATCCATGAGGGGTGCGCCATGCATTCGACTTCATTAATAATCGTTGCAGGTGATTGAGTGCGTATCTGGCCTTTACAATGACTCGCAGTGGTCTACCGATGTAACGAGTCAGTGCTACTATCCTACCAGACAAGTTTGGTTCCATTTTGCCCAGGAGGGATGAAGGGCTTGGTGAGCCACGGGCGCGAGGACCGATCTCATGTGTGTTGCAGGGCGCCTCTAAGCACTACCCTAAAGGCACCTTTCAAAGACTTGTATATGCACTAAAAACAAGGGATTGTGTATACAAAAACATGGAATACACATAGGATAAGAAACGCAGAGAGAAATTTTTTCAAAAGGCAGAGAAAAACAGTTTTATAGAAAGGAAATTACAATTAAGGGTTACATAAAAACTATTGGAGCGGGCGGTGTGACATCAATAGGTGTCACAGTGAGCACAGCGAGAAATTAGGGATCGTCGCGAGAGTGCTGACACCTTAACCACGTACAGTAGCGATTTGTGCTCCATGGGTAATTCCCACTGACGGGTGATTGCTAACAGCACCAACAGAGTAAAACATGGCCGAAAGGAGGCAAGGCAATGGCCTTGGCTGGCGTGGTGCGTAACGCACGCAACCCCAGTAGAGTAGTCGCAGGTCGGAAGCCCAGCTGAGGTTCCGAGTTTCGATCACAGCTCACCATCCGTGTGGATACACACTGGACTTTTAGTGCATTTTAAAATCTGGCCTCTACTGCGTTTGCCATAAACAACACATCAAGCGGAAACAGGAAGCACACAAGCACTGATTCACGCCGATCGCATTACGATGCTCTATCGCCACTGCCCTCTCCGCGCCGCGTCGACGCACATGCGCGTGTCTTCGTGCGTGGCCGCCAATCGATCGGCTGCACAGTCAGCTGGGGACGAGTCTGCGCAGTCGTTGTCTGCCGCGCTCTCTCGGCGGGTCCGTGTCGGTGCTTCCTCTGCGACCACGCTCTCTGCACGTTCTACCTCGGCATGATTAGATGCTCCCGGAGCATCATTCCCGTCCTCCGGGCTTGGCTGATGTTCATGGTCGAGGTCGTGGTCGTTTGCGTGAGGCTGCGATTCCTCAGCTAGCTTTCTAGTTTGTCCGTATTAATCATTAGAAGAATCACTGTGAATCTTATGAGCAGTGCACGCTTTGGTACTTTTCTAGAGTGGAAGCTGTCCAAACCGAAGTGGTTTTGATATTCTTCCCCTATCGCGTGTCTTACTTTTCTTTCTTTATTGTCGTGAAGTTGCCGCTTTGCGTGGCCTTAGCTCTGTGTGAAGTAAAAAGCTTTTCAGTGGCATCTCTACACTGGCGGGCCATCACGCACACACCTCCTCCATCGTTACGTAGATGAGTAGCAACAACCACGGCCAGGTAAGCAAGTGATTTCAGCCATATAGCATGGACTTATGTCCATTTTGTTTTTTGTGACTTATGGAAGAGCTGCTGCTAACTTCCGTAGCGCGCCATTTGCAAGCCCAGCCACTTGTAGTCCCTGTTATGATTTCGAATCCTCATCACTAAGGTTGTCTCTGAATGCTTTGCTTTCCTAATGGTTGAGATCCTTTCTTTGAGCTTGATCAGATTCTGTAACGTAGCGACTTGTTCAAGAGTTTGTATGGAAGTCATTCCTGTATAGATTTATTGGGAGCTTCTAATCTGCTTGAGTTGGAAAAATTTTTGTCATAATTTGTGAGTACTTCTTGATCCATAGCAAGGACATATAGACTGACTATTGATAACTAACCAAACAAGCAGCCTGTGGCTTTCGATAAATGTTCCTTTACTAACTGTATCTGATGAGGCCGACAAAGTAGCCCATTTGTAAGTATGGTGGGAAGTTCTGAGGGGTTACCAACACTAACGGGTGGAATTACATTATATAGTATATTCCTTACACTAATCTGTACGAAGTACACCGCTTTCTCATCTCACTTAGCCAAAAATGGTCGATCACCCATGCCCCAAACTCCCCTTCCCCTTACTTTCTCTAGGGCTACAACATTATTTTTGACGTGAAAGTTATCATTGTAGTAACAAGAGCCACTTAGTATGTCAAGGTTTGAATGCTCTTCCTTAGCTTGCCGTTCTTGGCAGTATTGATTTCTTGTTATAGTTGATCATTTAAATGTTTCACAGTGTAAGTAGTTACCGTTATGCGACTTGTTGGAAAAAAATAAGCTATTCATGTAATGAGTAATATGTCTGTGATTTGATGTGATGAAGCTTGTTCAGCCAAGCGAAGCTCTTCGTACAGCCTGGTTTGCGCTTCTTCCTGGTTTTGCATAATCTGTTCAGGTGCCGTCGGCTGCAGTCTCCTCATCAACCTCATCGTCAGCAACGGTTCTATGTGGTCCGAATGGCGCATCGAACACACACAGTAGTTCCGAACGCAATGATCGTAGCGCAAGCCGCTCGGGATCGCCACCGTCGCAGTTTATGAACACGACTGCACCGAATCACGGTGTAGCTGCTCCACACCAAAAGAATCTTGCACGCGTCCAAGCCACAGCTCCTCCAGGTTTGTTCTCTCAGATACACTCATTTGGAGGTGTCGCTTTCGTTGTTGTTTGCATCGTCCATTGTTTAGAGGTGGTAGTATCGTTGTTAGTAGTCCCGTAGTTGTTTTAGTGGTCACATGTTCACCGTCTTCACTATCGACTCAAAGTGTTGCGCCTCAGATTGCAACTATCGGAGCTACCGAGCGCACGGACAGCAGTGCCGAGGTTCCTTTATTTTGAGTAAATTGTTGCACACTGCTTCACACTAGTATTTAGAAACAATGTCTGAGATTTACCGTTAACTCTATCTTCGCTAGTTATCAAAAAGTTTTAGAAGTTGTTTACGTTCTTCACGTTCCTTGTTAGGAAAAGGTGTCTGATATATCGAGAGTTTGGTGATTATTCCATGTCTGAAAAAGCAAGTAGACTTTCATGTGCTCTCCGCCTAATTCACGTCAATTTATATTTTGTAGTAAGTCATATCAGCTTTTTTTCCAGTTTTATTATCTACACTCATTTTGATTTTTCAACATCAACTTTGGAGCCTTTTTTGTTTTCTATATCAGTTGCTGTCCCCTTTCAGTTACTTGAATATCTCCCTTTTCGTAAGTTCACTGATAGTTCAGATGTGCATAGTGAAATATATTTCACTTAATAGATGTGCATATCCATGAATAAGGGGTATATTGGAGAACTTTAGAATACCCTTCTGTGCAATTATTGGTATGTGCACGTGCCGATACAGTAGATATGTTTCATGATCTTATCCTTTTTATTTGCTTTCTAGATGAATGATTAATTCCTGCAACTTAATCGGGATGAAAAACTTAGCGCACATGTTGATTCTTATGAACAGTTCCTATTTGGAGCTTCCGATTAAGACTCGAATAAGGAATTTTGCTATCAGTCTCCTTTTCCTAATTTCGAACCTTAAGTTGGAAGATTAGTAAGCGCTAATATTTTGCGTTCGAGTTACCAGGATCGAGTTTCTATTAATCTTGGCGTCGTTACGTAACTCAGCGTTTTCTTCTTGAGTAGATACGGGAATGTCAATAGCGAGATTTATTCTATACTGACTGACGTTTCAGCGAAAATACTGGTCCACAATTTTCCCATACCACCTGTTCTAAAACCATTAAGAGAGTGTTCTTGTTGCACAGTTGTGAGATTTTCAAATCCTTTATCAATCTTTCGTCATCTGAAGTGAGCTAGTAATATTGAGTCGCACTACAAAAGCTAGACGAGTTGGGTTACGAAGATGAGTTCCATAAATGAACGACTTGTAAATGTTTTTTGGTTTTTTCTTTAAGATTTATTGGTGCATTTTATTCTCAGTAACTTAAAAATAAGATCGATTCTTGTTGTCGAAATGTAAATATTCCTGTAATTTCCGTCTTGAGCGGTCGCCTATAATGGTTTGCTGAGATGGTGTTACTTGAGGTTTATGATCATGAAACCTGCGTTATTTCTTTGAAGGATCAATATTTTTGGCCTGCAAGCTCACACTGTAAAGGTTCTAGTGTCCATGTATTAAATCGTGCTGTATTTGCATTCGATTTTAGGTGCTGTCCGTCTTCGAGTGTCCCGTATGCCTCGAGTACATGCTTCCTCCATATCTGCAGTGTCAAGCTGGTCATTTAGTATGCGGCAACTGTCGACCGAAGTTACAGTGCTGTCCAACGTGCCGTGGACCTACACGTTCGTAACGTTCACCATATCAAGTCTACCAATTTTCTTATCTTTCCATGTAGGGTTTATTTTCAGCTAGCGTTCGAAATCTTGGCCTCGAAAAAATTGCGAACACTGTTCGTTTCCCTTGCAAATTCGCTTCGTCGGGCTGCCCACTCTTCTTTTATCATTTCGATAAAGTCGAACATGAAGAAACATGTGAATGCCGGCAAGTCATTTTTGTTTTGATGCTTGAATATATGTATATGTCTGTAATTTAAAATTATGTACTGTGTTTCAGACCTTACAGTTGCCCGTGTCCTGGTGCTGCATGCAAGTGGCAGGGCGCTTTAAATGACGTGATGGACCATCTTAAAAAGGTGCACAAGAGCATAACTACTTTACAAGGTCCGTTCTTCATGCTTCATTGTATCGTGCTTCATTTATTTTCGCGTTCTTTTTTTTTCAAAATCGATAAAAGAAATAGAAAGGGTAATAGGTAGAGCAGCGTACCCAGAACTAAACCTTCCTCAGATTCACGAACCTCGAAACGACATACAGTAGTCTGTGGAAAACAACTGGAACTATCACGGCTATTGCCCCTCTCCATGAAGCGAGCATTCTTAGCAACGTAGTAGTTAAATGAAAAATATGCGTAGGTCACTTAATTTGACGGAGACGAGTCTTTTATGTGTTTGTAAACACATATGTGTATATGTTTGTATATTTACATATGTATATGCATGTATGTATATAGACACTTCTATCGGACTCGACGGGAGAAATATTTTTCTTCTAAGGCTTTCGTAAGCGAATTTGATCATTGGCTCGTTGGTATTTGTGTTGTGTGCTTAGCATCTGCTTCGACCAACTCGCTAACCCTTTGTCATTAAGACATGGCGCGTGTTCAGCTCGATTTACAATATATTAGTCCGAACAAGTGCTTTTAACTTAAATTTTTTTTATTTATGTGGAAGATAACTTTCAGCAGTCTTTGGTCTTATAGCAGCCAAGTTTTTGACGCATACGCTGACGTGCTAAGACTTGTTGATCGAAAACGCGAGCACGAACATAGTTGCTCTTTGTTTTTCTCACTGCATTCTCAATGCCATTATAAGCTTTTCATGCTGCTCGTTTGTTACTGCATAGCTGTGGATTCAAATCGCAAATTATATTCACTTCTCGATATAAGTACACATATTGATGACGTTTAACGATATTCACAGAGAAAACCACAAAGCTCAAGCAGCAACAAGATAAGTTCGACGACGTTCATGCATACGAGGAACAATTCGGGTGAAAGAAGTCCTGGGAGCCGCAAAATATATGTGAAAGACGGATCTTGGGAAAAAACTTTTGTCCCATGAACATTGTTTTCTAGAAGTTCAAGCAAAGATCTTTCTGCAGACGCTTTCGAAATTGTTTCTTCTCTTTGAGTATGGTAAGACAACATTTTCACCACAAAGGTAGCGTGGGTGCCGGCCATCGCTTTCCGCTCTTTTTTAATTCCGTTCTACTTTTCACATGAAGTTCTCTATAGTGACCGGAAACGACTTTAGCGAGGTAATATTGTCTTTTCGAACTTTCTTTTTCGGTAGTTATAACGTCTTGTTGAAAGATAGAATATAGACTGCAAACTTAACTCTTTTATTTACTGCCTTTTTCTTCTTAATGGCAGGTTATGTTGCGAAATATAACTCGTATGAAATGCTGAGATATTTGCAAAACTCCGGACCACAGATGTATGCAGTGGGGAACGAACACGCGCTGTTGTCCTTACCGGGGAGCAGCGCACTTCACCACTACACCATCCGGACCATAAGGACAACAGCGCGTGTTCGTTCCCCACTGCATACACCTGTGGTCCGGAGTTTTGCAAATATCTCAGCATTTCATAGACTGCAAACTTGTTTTGTAGCTCATGAAGGAATAGTGTACGTTGAGCAGGGATATCACACGACAATCTAGTGCTTCTCTCTCAACTAATTTTAAGGTGCTTTTAATCTGATGCAAGCGATACGTGTGGTATATCTTGCTCTTTCAACACCAGTGTATTTCGTTGCGATGCGAATATGAGATACTGTATTGAGCCTTTTTTTAAAGTACAGTTTGCACGCATGGTTATTTTCGGTCCTTTCATTCCTGTTAGGGATTACTTTAATAAAGAACTCATAAATGACAAATATCGCGCAGATTTGGCGGTAGTTGCCGATTTCATTTAGGTAATCTTTTTGTGCAGGAACCTCGTCCTGGTTTTCCATGCATTCTGAAAGGTGACATATGAAGAACGAAGCCAATATATTTGAGAAAGTTGGCGATAGGTTCTTCATATGTTTCGGTTCGATCTGATCGACATTGGGTGCCGCGAACTCTCTACCGATTAGATAGTAAATATGTCAGACTTCGAAAGTAGGAACCCTTACGACATATCCATCTTCCAAACGTAATATGTGGCTGTCGAAGAGGTTAGAGCATAAGTCGTGGATGTTTCTTTTTTTCTGAGTGCGATAAGTGTCTCGTAAGGGCGTCGTGGGGCGACCATCTTTGTGGTTCAATTATAGGCAGGCGGATGCTCCTCCCAAGCGTCTTAATTCTTATAACTTATTTTCGAAGTATTTGAATAAGAAATAAACTGATCTTTTGTGGTTGGATTGCACATTTAATAGTTGTCTTGCTAAATTAGATTTATTATAGGAGAGGACATTGTTTTCCTTGCAACTGATATCAACTTGCCTGGTGCAGTTGACTGGGTTATGATGCAAAGTTGTTTTGGATACAACTTCATGCTTGTGCTAGGTATGCTGTTTCTATCTTGTAATGACATTTGCTGGTTTTTCAATAATTGCCGATACCTTAACAGTCACTGGAATAGTTGAGAGCTTACTAGACTTATGACTTTGCTCCATGGTTTTATGTACGCACATATATTTTTTGTGAATATCTGCTATCTCGACTTTAAGTTTATCCGTATTTTTTTGTTGAAAATTTCGATCCTTTGGAAAATCGAAATTAGAATCTGATATTTTCGAAGTTTTTAATTCAAACACGGTACCCATAAAAGTCAGCGATACATTTGGACACCATCATGTCCTGTGTTACCGATTCCTGACTGCTTTTTATTTCAGTTATTTTTGTCTCAACTAACGGCGTTCACTATAACCCAATATATGTTGTCAATTCCATTGGTTTTTATTTCACTTAGCATTGATTTTTATCTCAGCTAACAGTTAATTATGACCCGACATACCTTGGGTTATTATAAAATAAAAAAGATCTCGACGCCGATCAATGCCTTAGGGTTGCGCCATGCATTCAACTTCATTTGGTATCGTTGGAGGTGATTGAATGTAAATCTGGCCTGTGCAATGACTCGCGGTGGCCTGCCGATGTATCGAGCTAGTGCTTCTATCCTCCCAGATAACTCGCACCAATTTTCCGACCCCGGAGGGATTGAAGGCTTGGTGGACCATGGGCGCGGGAATCGATTCCACATGAGTGTCGCAACGGCGCCTCCAACCACTGCGCCACACGCGCCCTGTGTTACTATACGTGCTGCAATACGCGTTGGTACAGCTTCATATTTCGGTTGCAGATGAGATAACTGAATTTATTTCAATGCTTGTTTTTTTTTTGTTTTGCTTCGAGGAACTTTTTAGTAAGCTTTGCATTCAATCGACAGCTCGCAGAACAGATATTTTGCAGTGCATGATCCATAGAAAGCTATTCCTTACGTTTAGTAGTTCGCAAAGTACTTTCCGTATGAGTGTGTTCTTTCGGTGTAGCGGCCGTTTCAGATAAGGAAATTTCTAAGTTATTCCAATACAGTGGACGAGGAGTTCACCCCCACCAGCTTGCAGTCATGTAATGAATATCTGGGAGTGTTACAATCCTCATGCCTTGATTTTAGTGATATTAAAACTTTCAATGGAAATTGTAGCGTACTCGGACGAGGCTATAAAACAAATGTAGGTGTAGTCGCATGTATGTTGAAATTGGGTGCAATCATTGTTATCGCACCATGTGCCCAATTCGTACGGCTGAAAATGTGTTATGAAATATTTGCTCTCTAATTTTTCGTGATTATTTTAGCAAAACTAACTTTCACTAGACACAAAGTGAACTCACTGAACACCTTTTCATGGTCTGTATTCATTCACGAATATTTCTTAGCGTCTTTCTGAACGGATGTTTAAAGTGTGTGAACATATTTTCTTGTTTAGAGAAACAAGAAAAATTTGATCATGGACACCAAGTGTTTTATGCCGTTGTGCAACTTATCGGTGCCAAAAAAGAGGCGGATAATTTCATGTATCGGTAGGCATTTTTCTTTTTATTTTTCCTATATCCACTGGAGGGGAAACACTCTTTCATCTATTCCAAGTCCATTTTATTCCTTTTCTCTATTGTTTCCGCTTAAAGCATTGATCTTTTAATCGTACCCTTACGAAGATGACAGAAAGAAGTTTTTTTAGAATAAGCTTTGTCATAAGTGAGGAACTCTCGGCAAAGGTAGCTTAGTCGAAACTTTTTACGTATGAAATGGTCAAATGACTGGTTACCTGCAGTATCATCACGTGCATTTTTAGTGTGTATTTAATTGATATTCCTTTCCTTTATGCTTTGATGATCGACAGAAGTAATACAGTATAGACTTAAACGCTGTTGAAGGCGACAGAACGACTCATGGATTTGTTTAGTTTGGAACTGTCAACACACCGTCGTCGATTGTGTTGGGAGGCGACTCCGCGTTCAATTCATGAAGGTGTTGCGCATGCCATTCAACTGTCTGATTGTCTCGCCTTTGATACTCCGACAGCTCAGTTGTTCGCAGGTTTATCATAGTTTTATAATGACTGTATTCTTTGGAGTTTCATCATGTTCGTTTGTAGAGAATGGAAATTTGGGAATTAACGTTACAATCAGCATGGTGAGTTCACATCTTATCATTTCTAGTGTTGTTGAAAAGGATTCAACATTTCTTGTTGTCAGTGGTTGGTTTAAGGTGTAAATGTCCATCTTCCGCATGTCGGGTCGGACCGCATTCGTTCATCTGTAATGATTTACCCATACACGGTTTGTACTGTTGTTTCAGTAAGAAGATGACGCTTTGTATACTAGGGAGTTGCATTCATTTCCTGTTATTTGTGTAGCGATACACCAATTATTTCTGTTGAGGAACGTCCAGCTCTTGTTTATGTTGATTATCTAGTTACGGACTCTTTTTTTTTTCTTTGTTTTAAGAGAGTTGTGTCTTGAAACATTACTTCGATTTCCGCAGTTGTTTTTCTTTTGTTTTCTTTTTTTTATCGAGGTAACTAACTGGCAGTAGCGAACTCAATTGTTAGCTGTGGTGACGCGTTTGACTTTGTCGCTGCGTACACCCGAAATATTTTGATTAACTGCCTTCCTTGTTACGTCATACGAATTTCTTTTGTTTGTGACGTAACCAACATAGCTTGTTTTGTGCGGGTTCGTTAGAAAAGTTGTAGTATTTGCTGAGTCTTTTATCGTAATCGTAGTAGATTCGTGCTGGAGGTGTTTTCGTAGGGCCAACATTTCTTCTCATCTCATGTGACATTAGTTTTCATATACCAATATCTATGTATTCGTTGTTTTGGGTCGAGTCTGAGATCGAACCCTTTGTCATAAGAAGAAATTCAGCTATTATATTCTACACAGGATTTCTTTTTAGCACTCGACGTTACAAATCCTTAACAATCGCCATCTTTAAGTATTGACGCCTTATCACTGTCGGATAGTATTTTCTTATGATTACTGCGACTTATCTAGAACGTAAATATTACCGGTTAAGGACTGCTTTTTAGACTGTATAAGGAAATATGTGAAAACTTTCAACTTCCTATGATGCTTCCGCTAGCATCTACCGGTAACAGTTCATCAAGTACTGCTATACATAAGCAACTACCTTCAAGGAAAGCAATTCTCCGGAAGTGTCACTTATTCTGGTGAACTTTTTTGTTGTAGTGATTAATTAGAATAGTTTGTAAATAGAAATCATGATGAAGCTCATTGAGAATAAATATCGGGCTAACTTGCTTTCGCAAGAAATTTGAGTTTCACGTGAATATTTTCTGCACATTGGACGATTTAATATCATATGTTTATACTTCAAATGGTCCGTCTACACAAGTCCTGCGGTTTCCAACACTTTTCTCATTCACTTCATTTTGCTGTGATCATCCAAGATCACTTGTGTGAGTATTTGAGTGTCGTTCCGTAAGCCGTAGATTGTTTGGAGTCTTGAATACATTAGGACGTGACCACATCGAGGCATCTCGTAGGTGCTCCCTGTAGAGAACTTGGAATTCCCTTGATAGCTACTCTGCTGTCAATTCTGAGTTTATGTCTGTTAAAACCCGATTGTCCTTTGAACTCGGTATGAATAGTCAGTATTTCACATTTGATAAGCCTACACGAGGCTGTTGTTTAAAGAAAAAGGAGCGTAGTTTTCGCCTTCTTCGGGCTCGCAAGGATTTGAATCATATGTCCACAACAGCTTTTCTTTGCATTGTGTGAATCGTCGTAATTGTATCGAGTCGAGTCGAGAGGAGTAGAGCAAAGAATTTGTATAGTTTTATCCTCTTGTAAGCCTTATTAGAACGGTAAAAGGTCTGAATGAAGGTCCAAGTGACCATGCAGCATATTTTGTATTAAATGTGCTTTTACACATGGTGTTGAAAACGTGTTTTTCTACGGCATAGACTGTACGCAGTCCATCTTGGTGTCTATGGCGGTTATATTTCTGAAGTCATGTAATTGCTCTAAGGGAATATTTTCGTTATGTTAAGATTTTATTGAGGCGCATGTAGCACAGTGGTTGGAAGGGCACTGCAATACATATAGGATCGATCTCCGCACCCCAGGCTCACCAAACCTTCCATCGCTGCGAGGTGGGCCAATTGGTATCAGCCTTGTCTGGGAGGATAGCAGCACTGGCTTGATACATCGGTAGGCCACCGTGAGTCATTGTAAAGTGCAGATATACATTCAGTCACCACCAACGATGCTTAGTGAGGTCAAGTGCATGCCGTATCCGTCAGGGATCAACGCTGAGAACTTTATCTTTTGTTCTTTATTTTGACTTTTTATTCACTGCCTACTGTAATTTCCTACGGCAAGATGTTATGTGAAGTGCAACCATAATGATGCTGAGATGTTTGCAAAACTTGGAACTAGGCCAGATGGAACCACGACTACACTTTACAAGGTTCACGTGTTACGCACGGCCCCACAGGCAGTTTTCTATCTAATGCTGCCATCAACAATCAACCGTCAACGGGATTGGTTTAGGGAGCACAAATCGGCATTCTCAGTTAAGCTGAGGCTATAGTCGAAATTAATTCCGTTGATGGTGATTATTGATGGCAGCGTTAGGTAAAAAGTGGCTGAGAGAAAGGTAAAGCAAAGGCTTCAATGGTGCCCTGCGTAACATGTGAGCGCCCTGAAAGGGTAATCGTGGTTCGATCAGGACTTCGATCCAAGTTTTGCGAGTATCTCAGCATCAACATTTTCTTTTTTTCATTTCATTCCAGTGACCCATTTTTCACATTTACGGTGCGGATCCCAGGACTTCTGACTTTCGATTCGTTTCCTGGCATCCATCATCCACAGTGATCTCAGGCAGCTTGGTGAGCCCGTAGCGTGGTGGGACCAGCACTGTGGTATCTCCCTTCCTCTGTGCAGGATTATACGTCTGATTATTTGAATGGCCCATTCCATCTTCAAGGGTCGTGAATAGTCGTGTGATCACAAGAACAATTTTTAAAGAGTATATCTCATAATACGATAAAGAACGGATCAATGCGTTTTACACGAAGTTGGAGGAGCTACTTGATAGGTGACACCTGAATGGCCCATGCTCATTGGTTGTGCAGGTCCTAGCATAATCACCATTTTTCGAAGATTTGCTGGTTAAGCCATTGTGGTTCCCTGGAATCCAGAGGTCAGCCTGGCCAAACTCTGCCCCAGGTCTTCACCACTACAGGCAATTGCAGCCCTTGTGGATCAGAGAGAGATTTACCATCATGCGACTTTGATATCAGGATGGTGGTGGATCCTGGTATTGGTTTACTCTTGGCTAGGGTTCCTGATGGAAGCGCCGGACTCCTCAACTTGGGAGACCCTGCCGTGGAGACGAATCTCCCCCACTGTACAGCCCAGTTCGACATCCAGCAACACCTCTCAGCAACAATGAGGCGGTAAACCGTTGGGAGGAGGTGGAGGAATTAGGGAAAGGGAGTATTTAAGACCTCAATAAGAACATCATCAAAGCTAAATTTCTTTGTAAAGGAGGTCGTCTTAATACCATCCTGAGAGCCATTGGTTGAACTGGATCAGAGAGGGTGACTGACTGTTTCAGTTTACCATGAATAGCGATGCGCGATCATCCCAATTCCAGAAGCCCTTTTCTAAATCATGGTTATGGAGGTCTGCTAATGGAGGAGTAGCATGAAGAAATGGACCACATGGTAGGTCGGAGCTAACCGATGTCGTTAGTCTACGGTTCTAAAGTTCTACAGAGGGTCAGACCATTGCGTAGTGCAGGAACCCTTTTTATCTAGTGAAAGGAGAGAAAGGCGCGAAATTGAGGATATAAAATCCTAAAGCGCTCTTAGATTGCGATTTTTCAACGGTAATTGGGCATGTCCTTAAGGTTATCGCTAAATGAGGCGAAAGTTTCAGTCAATAATGACATGTATTCCCAGAAATTCTGTTCTTAGCTCGAAACGACGTACAGGTCACGGAGTAGTGCTTGCAAACGTCAACACAGACGGTGACCACGGTGGAAAATGATTGGTCAAAGTGTTAGGCTGAGTAGCTAAGATAGTTAAAAGTAATCCATTTCATTCATTTTGTAATTCGAGCATTAATGTACTAGTTCATTTTGTCAAGTGAGCTCTGCTAGAGTGAGAAATGGAAAACATCACCGTTAATATATGGATCGTAGTTTAAGAATAGGAATGAAGTTGCGATGTGTATACTCTCGATAAGGTTATCAAGCTGGAACAGTATAAATAAAGTTTGTTTGTCAGTGGCGAACCAAAACGATCCATCCTACATATAGTTCTTCGTTTTTCAATTGTTACGTTCTCACCAAAACGACGTGCAAAATGCAATCTACTCACACGATGCATGCGTGATACCCACAGGTGCATGCATACCTAAATATGTGTGCACATGTGTTTACAAGTTAGTCCGATGTAGCACATATAGGGATATATTCTCGGGTCTCATGCATGTGCGCGCCAAGGAAGTCAAAATGTAGAGTGGAGGCGCCTAGAGGTGCCTGTGGGCTGAGTGAAGATGTATATCTTGCTTTCTCACCCTAGTCCTACCGAATCAGTGTTATGCGACATCTCAAACTTGGATCTTTTAGTCTTTAAATGAACAATATTAACACAGCAATAACGACATAGCGTTGTTAAAAAATCTATATATAAACAGTATAAGTAGTAACGTAATAAACACCCATAAATAAGACAAAAAGAGGAATAACGCCAACAATAGGAAAGTATCTTCTACAGTGGAATGGTTAAGTAATACGAGGAAAATGAGATTCATCGCTAGCTAGGAAGAAGTTTGTCTTGATGGAAGCACGGCAAGAACTTGGAAAGAACAGGTTGAATAGGTGATCCTTATATATAGGTCTAAAGTTGCACAATTGATATAGTTGCACGTTCAAAAATGTATGTTATGAATTCCTTACCAGCTATAACTTTGCGCAGCCCAACTGGCACGGGCGGAACGATTCCGTAGTACATGAGAATGAAGGAAATGGAGCTAAGAACAACACATACGTGATCCAGGAGACGTACACTAACAGAAGATGTGGAGAATATTCTTCAAATCGCGTGTATATTCCAGGCACTTGACGACAGGCTGTTGGTCAAATCGATGTGAAAGAAATCACAAGGTGACTGGAACGTAGCTAACTATTTTAAAATTCTTATACTTTATGTTTTAAACGTAATTTTGGCAAGAAATTAA